TAGCTTGTCATTTTTGCGATAGTTTTCTAATGGATTAAGTGAGTATAAACTGCTTGAAACTTATAAAGTGTACTACTCGTTAGAACTTCGAGAATAACCTCTCGAAGCAAGTCACTAATGGGTAGTAAAACTATTCAGCTTGGAAGTCTGTGGGGATTCATTTGCTGATTTCAGGTTGGTATTCAACATGCACTGACATCAGTCGGCGAAAAATTGGAAATCTGGCAGCACTGGACAGCTGTTTCGTCCTAGTATGGGACTACTCAGCTATGTAAACCCATGACTCTGCCGCAGATCGGAACCAGGGTCTTCATATTCTGATCCAAGCAGGTTTCTACTGACTCACTGGGTTTTAATTCAATGGTCCGTATTCCTTATTTTGCACTGCATGTAAGTCACGCTATATCGTAGACTCATAGAAGCAAGGAATATGGTAGAGGAGATTATGCTAAAAAATATAGCTATACTTGACTTCTACAATCTTCAAGTTTTGGGATAAAATATACATGCAAGCAGAAGAAGTTGCCATAGGATCACATATATCCCCTATCTTGGAAGCTCTATTTACTAATTAGTTGGGAACGGCTCACTCTTGAAACATTTGGTTCTTTGCCAAAGATATGCTTCCGAGGTGTAGATGACACGTTTACAGTGTTGAAACCAGAGCATATTAATAGACTGGTTTTGGCCACTCAAGTGAAGAAAATCATCCTAATTTATGGTCAGGTCTGGAATTCTATCTGTATCAAAATCCCACAACTCTAACTATTTGGCACTTAATCATCTTCACCTTCGTCAAATTTGTCAGGAGTTTTGTCCTGATGTATCTTGTGGACTTAGATATTAAAATCACTGGAACGTATCATTTTATCGTTCATTTCTTTTTTCTAGACCATTCACTCAAAAACTCTACAGAAATGCTATGCAGTGATAACTGAGGGTGAAGAGAAAATCTGCGTCACGGTAGGACTCCAAACAGTGATTTCCACTATACCAAGGTGTCTATCTAGTAACTGAGTTACAGGACTTAACTACTTGGCAGTTCCAGCATCACTTCACTTCTCGAAGGTTTCAACTGACCGTCATATGAATCTGTAATGCATAACAGTCTGCTCATCACTATCATAACAGCTGCCCAACAAATTTTCTGGTCTTACTCCAAATCAAAGGTGGAATCATTGACTGATTACAGGGAAAACTAAAAAAATAGGGGTTGCATACATGTATCAGTCTGTCAAAGTACAATCATCTCAGATAGTCTCGTCAGTAATTTAACCAATTTTTGAAACTTTCTCAGTTCCCTCTGATTTCGACGGTTAGATAATAACGTCCTCAATCCTTTGAATCAATCCATTCCTCTTTATCCACATAGAAAAGATTCATATTATTCATATCTTAGTTAGTTATTATTCGTAAAGAGCAGCTAAAGTACACTCTGTGTAACTTTATGCGTATTCTTGCGTGTATGCACTTGCATGCATGCATGAATGTTTGTTTTTGTGTTTGCATCTCTACAGAGATCCTCTATTGGCCCGATTATCATTATTATTATTATCATCGGTAGTAGTAGTAGTAGTAGTAGTAGTAGTAGTAGTAGTAGTAGTAGTAGTAGTATCTAGCCTCAAAATGACCCACTTCTTGGACGGAGAAGAGAGGAGTTATTTACATTTCTCATAATAAACAGATTGTTTTGGGCGAAAATGAAAGTCTTTGAGACACCAGAAATAACTTTAAAGTAGCTTTCATCATATACACACTTTGAGAACCAAAGCGCATAAGATGGTTGCTTTATCCTAGTTTAGGGGGTCCTTATCAGTGTGCACTCATAACCTTCTAAGCGATCCAGGCTATGATGGTTAAGCTTTTCAGTGAACTCGTTACCATTCAGCAATGGGGGTTAGAATCCTTTGGATTATTTTTTCAACTTCCCTGGGTTCATGAATTTTGTGACCATAACATGCTATTTGGGTGGCTTTTATGATCCTCCTCCAGGTGATTACAATTCATGAAAACTACTTCTGCGTCGACCGGCCCCGAAAACCGGCAGAAATGGTTTGCTAATTGACTGAAGTGATCAGACGATACAAGGTTCCGAAATTGCTTTGAAACGAGTGAAAACCATCGTAGCACAACTACGCACACTTTAACGTATAACAACATACAACTGAACTTGTGAAATGATTCACCCATGATACTGTGGTATACAGAAGAAGATGAAACTGGAAACTGAAGATAATGAGACCAATGAAATAAGTGATGTTGAAAATTGCGAGAATACAACTGATGATGACAAAACTTACAATGTGGTATCCATTTTCCAACAATCTCTTGGCTTGCATCTTATTCTGAACTATGCTTGTCCTTTTTATTTCTATCCAGTATCAGGTATTGTTTTCGCCGGAAATCAGACCAATTGATTTGGTATCCCCTTCGACATCGCTGTATATTTACCATTTATATGTTTTCTTATAAGTAGTTCTGTCGATAAAGGTTTACATTATCATTACTAAGCTTCACGACTAGTTGTCTTTCTACTTCTTACACTGGAAACCATAACATCAGTTGAATGCCAGTCTATCTGATCTGACACTCCTGGCCACTACAGTGGAGAATCCTCCTGTGGCAGGGTTTTATTCTGCAGTGTTGCATTCTCCTAATGCAACAGTATCGCTCCACAGTTTTTGATTTTCACCCTAGACAGAAAAGCCTCTGCGTAGACATAACACAGGAAATACGATGATCTAGTAATATTTCTCTGTGAGCACACACAAACACATACACGCATACATCTCTTTGACATCAGACCTTTGGAAAAGTTGTCATCCTCCAGGGCATTAAGGTAAATGTGTGACTGCCAACTTATTTTTAGCAAGAGTCATGAAAAATCTTTTACTGAATTAGCATGGTAGTATCTGTGTCGTGGACAACAAATGATGAAACAGATAAATAAAGCGTATCATTCTTCATCTGTAATCAATAAACAGCTCAACACCAATGAAACGTTTGCACGGACACACAATTACGCTCACCTTTGTTGCGTACAACAGTTTAGATTAGTGGGTTCAGCAACACTAACACTTTCTTTACATTAGTACATATACATATTGACCTGAGAATGGAGTAAAATTTAAACAAAACTTTAAAAGTTAACGAGTAGTTATGAAAGTTGCAGAGATATACAACCCTCCATATCGGCCAGTTTTTAACAAACACTGTTAAGTAGAGTCTGTGTTTCAAGTCAGTAAAATGAGAAGTTAAATACTTACATAAATGTCATGTGTTTAGTTATTGAGATGGCAGGCCATCGAAGCATCCAGTTGTGCAGGAGTAAAAAGGGATACCGAGGAAGATTTGACAAACCGAAATTCATTAGAACACACTGATCTTTCGAATCTGCACAGACTCCGTTATAAACCAGAATGTCTCATAGACTACTCACAGACGAGCAAAAGTCCCGACAACAAAAAGCAGACTGGAATTTGCTTTAGTCAGTTACCTGAATATCAATGCAAAATTCCTATTTCACGGCCATCTCAAATAGCAAAACTTACAATCAGTCTCTAATTCAGATTGCTTTGGATTAGGATGAGAACTCCAACAAGTATGAGTATGATCAAGTGATAGTACCGCATCACGAATTCATATCTCAGTCTGGCGAAATCTTTGTTGCTTTGAATAAAATCACGTAGCTCAGATGGTGGAGCAATGGGCCGGTTACGCCGAGGTAGTTGGTTGAATCCTGCCGGCCCCCTAGACTTTCAGTTAACCTTCAGTCATAACTCAGTATCAGTACAAGTCTTCCAAAGCATAGTCAACTCTAATAGTCAAACTGAGTGTTGTAACTGCAAGCAGGAGTCCTGACGCATACGTTCTGCTACGGTTCAGATTTATCCCTAACTCTAATAGAAAATCCTCCCTTATATTATTGATATAATTTGTTCAACATGGTGGTTTGTGGGGATTTTTTGATTTCAGGTTGGTATTCATGATGCACCGGTATCAGTTGGAGAAATATTAGAGACCTGGGAGCACTCGGCAGTTGTTTTGTCCCAGTGTGGGGATCCTCATCAGTGTGCACCCATGACCCCACCCCGCCGTGCCAGGGATCGAACCAAGGACCTTCAGGTTCTGAGGCCAGCACGTTACCACTGACCCACTGGGTCGGAATCCAGTATTCCACATTTCCTACTCCTGTCAGTTCACGACATAACGTGACCATCACCCAGTGTTATCGTTGAGTATTTGTCCTCACTTCCACGAGGTTTGCCCCACTGGTCACGACTTCTCATTGGAACTTCAGGAATCCCCTCTGGAAGCTAGTCAACAATGAGCACTAGATCAATTTAATTTGGGCTTCGATCCCTGGTGGGTGGGGTTGTGGGTGAGCGCTGCTGAGGAGTTCCATACTAGGATGAAGCAATTGTCCAGTGCTCCCAGATTTCCAATATTCTTCTAAGTGATTTCAGTCCATGATGAATATATGGTTTGTGTCGATGATTCTGGTTAGTCACTACTCCATTCATAGTGTGGATAAGTACGAATTCTCTCATCTTGTATGCTGGTATGCAATGCGAACAAAAGATCCCAACGTAACTGATTTGTTGTTTATTTAAGGCTTCTATAAAGTTTCAACTCACCAGCATTACAGTGGACAAACATTTTAATCAATAATATATGCTAATGCCAGATAGTGGCTAGCAGTGGAATCCAGGATGCGCATTTCATCCTATTTGAGACTCGTCAGCTGGATGTACCTGCTTCCCAGTGAGTGATGTTGTTCCCACTTCCAGCTGACGAGTCCCAAATAGGACGAAATGCGCATCCTGGATTCTACTGCTAGCCACTATCCGTCTGTACTAGAACTAGAACTACACAGGTATATCGAGGCATCCGCACAGAAGCCCATATGCCAATAGAGACCGATCAATTTGGTCCAATCAACGACGGTATGATATAAAAACAATTATGATAATATATACTATTTATCATCTTTTTTCCAAATGTCCTTTAAGGAATTATTCGAATTGCATAAGCCCTTAGTTACTTATCTTGATCGAATTGTCACATATCTAGAGGATCCATTGAATCATTTGTTAGATCAGCTTGGCACTGTACGAAAATGTATCATTTTAAAAGAAACCTCCAGTTTAGTTGAACAAAGTGATGTCAACCGACTGTATGACATTTTAAAACAATCAATATGTAAAACATATCACTCAGTGGACAATATTCATTAACCGATCAATAAAATCGATAATCAAGTATGCATAATTTAATTTATCTTCACTAATTCCTATTTCTCTTAGAGATAATTCAGTGAAGAAAATTATATATATATATATATATATATATATATATATATATATATATATATATCATAAACATATAACAGTCTATTATAAAACAATAGGATATAATTACATCACTAACCTAGTGCTAAAAAAGATCCGAATCAATAATGCAAAGTAGTTGTATAATAAACCAAGACAGTAGAAATATCGAGGAAGGCAAGGAGTTTGACAAGGTGAAAATTGTTAGTAGATAAGAAACGCAAATATTGAGAGTTCACTTGATAGATAGATGGATGTAAAGAAGGTGAAGAATGAGACAAGGGTCATAGTGAAGGTGACCATATATATGAAGTATAGAAAAATGAGATTCTTTGCTTTGTCGCAAAATTGGACAATAATTTATTTTGAAGTTAATTGGGACTGACATCAATTAAAGTGCTCCCAGGTTTTCAATGTTTTTCCAACTAATATCAGTCTATGATGAATACTACTTCAAAATAATTAATTTGTTTATCCATCCAGTCTATTTAACTGTCTATTCAAATAGAGTGATGGTTCTGAGGAGTTATACATTTGAAAAAGATACTCAACAGCTTAGCTTGACTGGATCTTCTTATTTCAGGATAAAGATTCAATAAAAAGGAGACTATTCAGTGTTTCAAAGTAATTACCACTGATCTAGTCCAGCTAGAGGAGGAATGAAACCCATATGGAACTGAACAGTCTGTTTTGCTTTGATTTGGAACGCGTTAACAGTACTAACCCATGGCCATGTAATGGACAAAAAGAAACCTAGGAGAAATGCATGAAGTATAATCCAGACTAACTTGAGATTTGTTGCAATGACTGATCATAGTGAAGTCATTTAAGCATACTCAATAAATATTTCACTGGCTTCAAGTAGACCTTAGCAGTAATGTATACAGACAAGTTCATTTGAAATGAGTAGTTATAATACGCTTAAGGTAACCAAATGCCTTGTCATCCAATTGGTGACACAGATATTTGGAACTCCTTGCCAAATATCTAGCCAGCGGTGCTCATTTAGTCGTATTTAGTTGGATAGTCACCTTGTAGAACGGTTCTGATCGCTATATTCTTTCGAGTTGCTGTTCAAACACGTGAACGATGATGCACATTTAAGCCATACTCGACAACTCAGGTGTTTACGAGACGTGGAAGACCAGTTATACAACGGCAGACCTCATCGTGGTTCCCACTGAGAACCGAGTAGTCGTCTTTCCATCCAGTGTTACGGTTTTGAAATGAGGAAATCCACTAGGGGGGAGTAATAGTTGAGTTAGCTAGAGGTAAAATGACCATCTGGGACACTTAATCTGTAAACTTGCGATATTTCTTGTGGTCATACGCTGTTTGTTGTGTCATGGGTGACGGGATAGTGTACATCTCATATACATGTGAGGCTGTGGGCCATATGCCTACCATATCCTCCAAGTGACATGCTATTAGGACCCAGTTGACCGATGTGCTAACCCATATCTCTAGTATGAGTTTCAGGTTAATGATGAGGCCCACCCTGGTGATTACACCAGCCCTCTCTACGGAATGTTCAGAATAGTGAAACTTGTGTCATCCTTCCTGTCTGGGAAATGGGTCTTTGAAAACGGTCACCTGTCGACTCACGAACCTGGTCAGTTGTCTGCTAATCCAGCAGGCAGTTAGGACCAAAACGCCTGGGTGCCGCAGTTTAGCGGTGGTGGGAAGGAGTGGTATTTGTTGAGTGGCTGGTGTCAGATACGGTTGGCCCTAGCAGGGTAACCCAGGGACACTCGCCACCACCCCTGCCAAGGAGGCGTGGGTAGATATCTGGAAATGTGTAGTCTTCTCTGTCTGTTGGACTGTATGGCCTGTTGTGTACACCGTTTTCATGTATGTGTACCTAGCTGGAGACCGGTACATTAGTCGTTGGCGTTAGCCGACCTAGAAACACATAAGACTTGTAAAACTGCAATAGTCATCATTGGTGATTTACGTAGACAGATTCATAAGTAAGGGTTGGGTTACTTCAAAACTGGTTAGCGAACTGAGGGAATTATAAGTTTTTAGAAGCAAAGCGACTTTAGACAGAATCTATACAGTTTCTTTCTAAAAGTGACAGTCAGAGGAAAATCGACAGCGATTACCATCATTCAAATTTTCTTCGACTTATGCTTAGTTATGTAATTCTCATCATGGAATGAGATTTTTGCAAATATTTCCTCTGATTTCAGGGAAAAAATGAATCATCTAATGACCGGGTGAAATTAAGTTTAAAAACAAAACAGGAAGACTTATGCACGTAACAGAGTGCAGTTTTTGAATATCATCAAATCCCTCTGAAGTTTCTGACTGGATTCAAGGATATACGTAGTAATCATACGGAAACGCGAATATACTCAAGGTGGGAACAGTTAATGACTCCTTTCTCCACACTCAACCCCTTTAACTTTGAGAAGACACAAAAATGTTAGAAGACAAAGGCTGACTTTTGACTTTGGGGACGAGTTTTTATCAGGCGAAAATGCATCATATATGAGGCTATTTTCATATGCATAAAAAGTTACCAACAAAAAGACAATACAACTTATTTTTATAGGTTCGTAGCTGACCAGTGTGCCAACTAAGGTTACCATGGCCACACAGTAAAATATAATTAAAGCCAAAGCTCTAAAACTTCTACATGAATGGGCAATGACTTAAAGTATTGATTTATGTTTTAGGCCGTTCTTGTCGCCATCATCATCATCATCATCAACATCATCTACTACTGGGTAATATACATATTTCCAGCATTTATTTATCAATAAATAAATGATGTTTTCAGTTATGTTGAAAAGTTATTTCATCATCACACTAAGGATCAAGTTTACTACACTAGGTTGTGGAGATATTCCCCTTAGTTTACATTGAGGATAACTCAGTATAGTGGTTGAGTAAAGTGGAGCGTGGTTCAACGCAGTACTGAAACTAGTAGCGAATAAATGTTGCTTTGTTCTATATTTTATGCTTCACTGAGTGGTAGGCAAATCAAAAATGAAAGACCTAACCTTTGACTGCAAACGCTACACAAGTGTTAACACAGAATTTTTAAAAATACAAAAAGAAACGGGAAAACTATTCATAAGACGGTTAAAATCAGATAAATCAAACTTTAAACATAACGAAATTCAACCTTAGCAGACAGCGATTTTAGTAGTTGATTTCCATTCCACCAGTTTCTGATACACATCATGTACATAGAGTTGGTGTGCAACTGAAGGTAGTCGTAAACATTATATTACACAGTAACTTGATGGAAAGCCTGTATGCTAGTTTTTTAAACAGATATTCACAGAATACACATTTACATTTACAGACAGGTGGACAGAATCAACGTAGAACCTCATATAGAAGTGCATCGATTCAAGTTGATACACTTCATAGTGGCATGCAGAGAACAAGTAGACAAAGGTGGATTGGAAGAGAAGCAATTGAGAAACGGAGGTTGATGAAGGTGTTCAAACTTAAGAAGACGTCAGGGAGTGTATTCACCTACGCCAAACTGACTAATTTTCAGCCATTTCCAGAAGAATCTTTAACCAGTGGTGCCAGTAATCCCGGAGACTCTAGCCAAGTAGTCTACACCTCCCTACATAGGACAGATCAATAGTAAGAGATCTTATCGACTGAGTCACCTCTCCTCCAATCTGACCCAACTTATCCTAGTATCACACGTTGAGGTAAGCGGTGGTTTGGTATGCGCAACACATGTCCAATCCACCTCAGTCTCTGAAGGTGTACAACCCCATCGACTCCATGTAGCATCGAAACCGGTCACATGGTGGTTACACGATAATAATAATAATAATAAGAGTAATAATAATGGCTTTATTCTGAAAGCTATTTCGAGAATACTCTACAGAGTTCTCAGCATATCAAATGGCATCAAATGGGTAGAGAGAGTGTACATGAATACATAGCAAAATGAAATAAGTTGCATAAGTTGCATAAAAACGATAAGAATATTCACTCTATCTACAACTTCCTTGGAAATGTTCAGTTCGTTTAGGTAGACAGTCACACTAACAATTAGATTCATAATACGTAAGAAGTAACACGCTCATCTTCAACTAGTTTGCTTTCGAAAACGAAAGTTGATTTTTAGTTCATTTTTAATACGTTCTTGATCGCACAGCAGACTGGCTAAATACGGTATGGTAGAATTTTAATATTTTGTTGTACGTGCATAAAGTCTAACTTACTTGCTCCTCATCTTTCCAGATGACCGACACGCAGAGAGGTTTGAGTGAAGAGTATGTTGGTCATCTGATAAAATGACTCCTGCCAGATGTTTACATGAATGAATATGTTTGTTCACAGCTGTTTAACCAGAATGTTTAGGCGTAAACAACTAGACCTGCTGACAATCCTCTAAGTTCTACGCAGTATAGCATAGTCTTCCTACAACAACCCGGGAAAAAATGAAGGGGAATAAAAAAGAAGAACAGGCAAGATGCAGGAGTTTATAAAACACAAGAGGAGAGGCTGAGGAATACCAGATACCCTCAGCTTAATATAGAAAGTTAGACTGAAAATTTTTCTGAAAGTTAGTAAGATACGGGGAGACCAGGAAAGGTCAGAAGGAAAATACACACTGAGATAAATCACACTTGTAACATTCGCTAAAGAGCAATTATCAATAGAACAGGAATCATGAGAACTAAGAAGTTTACATAAGTTATATTTGCATCTAAAACTAATGCTTACAGGCCGACATTTTGAAGGACTAAACGTAAGATCATTCTCGGAGGACTGTCGTCTAACAGTTTATAGGAAATCATTCAATTGTGAACAATCTGTTGAAGAGGAAACAAGTTTGGAAGCAGTCAGGTCATCAGCATATTTAATGAAATTGATACCAGCTGAAGATGGTAAGTTATGCAGAAAGAATGCAAAAAGACATGGGGAAAGGATGGCTCTTTGGGGAACTTCACTCACAGTAAGCAATAAGGTGGAGCACCTCCCTCTATGAACAGAAACAGGGAATGCAGCCAGATGATTATCCAGGACTCAGTACGCTACCAGTGCTACGAAGACAGATGTATTCGAAAACTTATAGTCTCTTCATATCTTCTGCTCTTAAAGGTCATGTCTCACATCCGAACAACAGGACAAAATAGAAGGTAGTATGCATGTACGATTATTACATACCTTGGTTGGTGATTTAACCTTTCTTAGAACCTATTGCCTTCAATAGAAGATAAGAAAAGAAGTAAATGCACTATTTCCATCAAGTCGAAGTTTATATAAAAGAAGAACAACCTCAGTAAAACAAAGAATCAAAATGCTTCAGTGATTACGTCATTTTAGATGAAGTATTCCTTACTTTGGGTGTTTTCTTCTCCTTAGTCTTTGAACTGTTACTGTTTCCACAGTTAAACATACACAAACACATATGTATGTATATAAATCCTAATTACTCATTACCTGATATAAGGGATAATGTCAAGAATAACGATTACAAAATATAGAAACAATAGAGAAGTCAACAGTTTAAATTCACTTGTAGTAAAATTCGACCGCATCCGCCGCCAAAGATTTTGATGACATACAAGGCAGAAAAAAGTAGAGATAAACTCATGATAGTCAATGATAACTACAACAAACTTGCTGTTCTCAGACTTGGTTCTGATTGCTAACCAATCATCTTCAAACAAAGCCGTAGAATCTTCTACTACCGTAACAAAACAAACTTCCTCTGTCTTTCGTCATGAAGTGAAGACAGTGTGGTCCATAATGTATCGGTCGGTTACGATCATCATGAGACTCGGAAGGATCGTGTAAAGGTTCAAGTTACTACACATAGCATTTGAACGCCAAGATACAAAACACCAAGATTCAAGATAAAGAAAAATGGTCAAAAGTTGTGAACAGTCGTAAGAACTAAGGAAGATAGGCTAAGAAAATCCATGAAATAGGATGTGACACTTTTTTGATTCACACATCACACTGAGATCCACTCTCAGCCTTATTATTCATAGTAACCAACTACTGATTTTGTTTACGAAGTGAACCGCGACCGAAATATCTCAGTGGTAGCGTCTCAGACTGCAACAATGGGTGATGCAGGTTCACATCTCATGTGAGACATTACATCTGTCGATTTTGAGGATACGTTTTGCAGGCGAGTACCAACAAGCACGAAACCTAAGTCCAGGGCTTCCTGCTGATTGCCTCTATCCAACTAAAGTCTATATTTCCCTATACAGCTGCGACCTAAGGTTACATGCTTCATAGACTGATGCCAAGTTTTATCTGGCCACTGTTGACCTCTATCCGACCCAATCCTAATCCACCTCAGGCTGGATTGGGAGTAGATGGTTGCCAGACATGCGTAAAATATATCCTAGCCACTTAAGTTAATGAAGGTTTACAGCCTCGTTAACTGGCTTACCTATTTTACCTATGACTGTTTGACTTGTCCCTAAATTAGTAACTTAGTGGTTCTATGACACACGGCCAGTGTAACAAAGGCAACAGTTGTTGAACACCTGAATCGTTTTCTTCCCCTCCACCTTTCATAACTATAAGGTAGGACATGGGGGAACCCTAACTAGGCAATCAGATATTTTGCTAAGGCTATAAATGTACCGTATCCTGAGAAAAGCTAACCAAGTCCGTTCAGTGATTAAGCATACTAGTTTTATGGTTAACCTACATATTTCTGACGAATATTCTGTTGAAAAATCTATGTTGGAAACTGCATTAGAAAAAGTTGACTCTCCATACACTAACCAACGGCATAACAACACAGTGCTCATTAAAGATGGGCTCTACAGCTGAGTTTTTAACACTTTAATGACAAAATGCAACCTTTAGGTTGGATAGGGACCATAACACTGGATAATCATCGCAACAGTTAAAGACTGGTAGATTTTAATGAATTTGAACCGCTGGATGTTGACGACTGACTGGTTAGTGACGCTCTGAGAATATGACTGAACTTCTTTCAGGGGAAAACAGGTTCTCTCAGTTGGTAAGTGAAAGGAAAATAACACAGACAATCAAACTTTAAATAACTGGAATTTTGAAAGGAATGACGAACGTATCAATCCTCACTTCTTAGGCAAATGAAAGATAAAGGCCTTCCAGACTAAATATCCCTCATCTAAGCAGAGTATACTAAACCTTTATGCTCGCCTTACTGTTTCATCTAACCATGGAAGCAGATAGTGCAATCAGAAGGTGAAGTCTATCTGAACAATGTCATGTATTTTGCGCAAAGCATTGCGGACAATATGATCACAAAGTTACATATCAAGTCATTTTATATTTAACCTATAGATGGGAAGACAAATATAGCAAAAGATACTACAAGTGAAAAATTGAGCAGTTAAAACCACTCAGGCTGATTTGCAGTATTTCACCAGTGAGTAACTGGGCTCCACGGTCTCCATTAGTCATAGAACACCGCTGATGAGCTCGGCCCCAAACGAGCGAAACGGTTGTACGGTGTTTAGATCTATCTGGCAAAATACTACAGATCAGCCTTAATGGTTTATGACTGCTCAAGTTGTTCAGTAGTAGTATCTTTCACTAGTACATGACACTTTTGGGTGAGAGGTCACACCTTGTGATCCTGGCTGAGTGATTTACAGTGGAAATCCTCTTAACACCATAGTTAGGCAGTTGTAAAAAATACTCAGCTGTTAGAAGTATCAGCTTGTAAATGAGTTGCAAATTCATCACTCCGCAAATTTAATATATAAGATAATAGGGGGTTGAAAAGAAGGAGGATGAGGAAGAGTAACCTAGGTTGATCCTAATCTTGGCAAGAAACAAAGTTCTTACACTACACCTAACTTGGTAAACTTTCTTTTCTTATCAAGATTAGGATCAACTAGGTCACTCTTAGTTTCTGTCCTCATCTTTCTTCATTTTAATCCCCTTGTATCTTAACTGTTATAGTTGTCCCCCCCCCCACCTTTCGGTTAAATATAAACTGACTTGACATGTAAATGTGTGACCAGACTATACGAAATGTGCTGCGCAAATACATAAGAATGTTCAGATAAACTTCGTCTTTTAATTAAACTATCTAAATACATCCTCGAAATGTCTAACAGTCTTGTTCTGTTAACTTTGTTGTTCTGAGCAGTTGGGGAGATGTTGGCTATCTGACCATAGAAGTCGAGTTCATAGGAATGAATGGTTGGAAAATTTCGGAGATATAGCTCAGAATCGATCATAGTCATGACGTTGAGTACATTTCTTATCACCCTCTAAATGTCTAACAGTTCATGGATATTCATTCATTTCTCCTTCTCTTAACTGCTTTTTTCTACTTTAATTTCAAACCTTTTCTGTTCATTTTACATATCTCTGTAAAATATGGCATCTTAAATTGACGTGCTTCTATTCAGGGTTCCAGCTGGATATATCTATTTCAGATCACTTGCCTGACTGAACAAGTCGTAACAATGTGAATTTTTCTTCTATCACTAATGTTGTGTTTACCAATAACTTTTCGGCCACTTTTCAATCAAGTTATAGTGGAAGCACCATAGGCGAAATACTTGAATCAAAATAAAAACTTACCGCAACTATTTTTTAAAGACTGTTCTCACCTTTTAGATGTGAACAATAGTTCACCAGTTGGCGTATACATGGATCTGTGGCTCTTTCATCAAGGCGTTTGAACTCCACTCCACTCCACCTACCGAGGCTTCGGAAGCCACGTTATATCATTAACCTTCACACAATAGGTCTGGCTCATTGTTTAGTGCATATGGTTGTGCAAGTGGTTGGTGAGTGGATTTCGACTTCATACTTGACGAGCTATGGGTTCCACTTACTTTATGAGAATGAATGGCAACTATGTTGACAAAAACAGACATATTATGAGTTTCAACCCGTGATGTTATTGACTGGCGGTTGAGATCATTGGAAAAGAGATGTGGAAACCCTAACTAAATAGTAAATTGAAGTTCTGTTAAAATGACGACAACTAAATACACTTCATCACAATGTCCATTTGGCTTGTTTTTCTAGACGCTTAATTTTCAGTCAAGCATGTCAAATGGTCCAGTCACTGCTCCGTTATTTGAGGTTCACACGACCAGGTAGTATCACCAACTTTCATAGCGTTGTAGTAGTAGTAGTAGTAGTAGTAGTAGTAGTAGTAGTAGTAGTAGTAGTAGTAGTAGTAGTAGTAGTAGTAGTAGTAGTAGTAGTAGTAGTAGTAGTAGTAGTAGTAGTAGTAGTAGTAGTAGTAGTAGTAGTAGTAGTAGTAGTAGTAGTAGTAGTAGTAGTAGTAGTAGTAGTAGTAGTAGTAGTAGTAGTAGTAGTAGTAGTAGTAGTAGTAGTAGTAGTAGTAGTAGTAGTAGTAGTAGTAGTAGTAGTAGTAGTAGTAGTAGTAGTAGTAGTAGTAGTAGTAGTAGTAGTAGTAGTAGTAGTAGTAGTAGTAGTAGTAGTAGTAGTAGTAGTAGTAGTAGTAGTAGTAGTAGTAGTAGTAGTAGTAGTAGTAGTAGTAGTAGTAGTAGTAGTAGTAGTAGTAGTAGTAGTAGTAGTAGTAGTAGTAGTAGTAGTAGTAGTAGTAGTAGTAGTAGTAGTAGTAGTAGTAGTAGTAGTAGTAGTAGTAGTAGTAGTAGTAGTAGTAGTAGTAGTAGTAGTAGTAGTAGTAGTAGTAGTAGTAGTAGTAGTAGTAGTAGTAGTAGTAGTAGTAGTAGTAGTAGTAGTAGTAGTAGTAGTAGTAGTAGTAGTAGTAGTAGTAGTAGTAGTAGTAGTAGTAGTAGTAGTAGTAGTAGTAGTAGTAGTAGTAGTAGTAGTAGTAGTAGTAGTAGTAGTAGTAGTAGTAGTAGTAGTAGTAGTAGTAGTAGTAGTAGTAGTAGTAGTAGTAGTAGTAGTAGTAGTAGTAGTAGTAGTAGTAGTAGTAGTAGTAGTAGTAGTAGTAGTAGTAGTAGTAGTAGTAGTAGTAGTAGTAGTAGTAGTAGTAGTAGTAGTAGTAGTAAAACCCGTGTGCATTTGTTAATATATATTATTTAGTTAGACAGTATTTATTTGTTTGTGAATCTGCTTTTTGTGGATTTGATGCAAACTGAATTTAGGTTTTGAGTTACTTTTGACATTTGGTAACAATAGTTTTCAGTTAATTGTTATACTGTATTCAGGGTGGTGGTAATTTTGCAAAAGAAGATGAATTGCTCATGTTGAAAGGCAGGTCGATTGAAAAAGGATTGTCGATATTTTGGTATTAAATAATCTAAAATATCCCGCATTTACACTCATAAATATCGATTAATTTAAGAAACTATTTCATCCGTCACTGCTTAATCATTTTCTTGCAAGCTGTCAGCAACCATATGCAGGTTCATTCACTAGGCAATGGGTCACATACATTGTCTACAGATTAGTGATATTTGCATGCATTATCAACCTACAATCTAGCGTAACTGTGTATTGACCTAAGTTTCCGCACCACAATAAAAGGACAAAGAATTGAAGATATGTTATTCAAAGAAAAATGTAGATAAAGATGTATCTGCACAGCTGTGATCGATCTTGAGTTGTATTATATAGTCGCCAACCACCTGCTACAGTCAAATAGCGCAACTCCTGAGCTATTTTCTCGTCTCAATCTGGCTACCCTTAGCTTTTTCATAGCATAGTTCTTCCTCAGCTAATATAGCGCTTGGGAGTCGACAGTTACTCAGTAAGCGTAATATGTGTCCCAGCCGCGACTGTTTGCATAAATTATTAACCTCGTCACTTGACAAGCTTTCCTGGTTTGGTACTTAATTCATAAAAGAGACTAACTGTTTATTATCGTGGTTCTATCTGGATCACCTTATCATTCAGTTGGCAAATGTTTATCTACACTTCTACAACCCATCAGAAAGCTACTTTTGAACTATTCGCTATGATGTGCATTCAAGTTTGTCAATTCCATGTGTAATGTAGGTGTGTTAGATAACACAATGTCATCATTTGACGTTACTATACTGTTTATAAATATTCTACTGATTAAAACTATTTGCTTCACATATAAGTGGATTGACTCAAATGCGGTTAACGTTAGTATACCCGGATTTATACCTGAAATAACTACTCTTCAAATGCGCGTTTGCCGTGGACTTCAGCTTCAGTAATACCTTCCATCGGAGAAACAGCGTAGTAACGGGATCACCATTAGGGTTCATTCCTAACAGATAAATTTTCTACCAAACTGCAGACAACCATACTCAACCCAGATATCAAACATTTTAAATTTTACAGATGTACTAATGATGTATTCACCGTTTGTGATAAGAATTGTGACTTGCAGAAAGTACTACAATTTTTCAATGAATCTCACTCTTCCATTGGTTATTCAATGCAGACAGAAAGGAAACCATAGATACTATTCCTCGACATATTGTTAACAAGATCCATCTATCAAAAATCTTCTAGGAAAGTGTAAATGACAGACTCTTACAACTGGGTTCCAAACAGTCGACAAAGAAATCTTATTCACTCCCTTTCCTCTCGAATCCGCAGAATTTGCATTTCAGAAACAAAAGAAGGCGAAATTTCATTTTACAAATCGACTTTCATCAGATATGGAAGACCAGAGAGTTTCATAGATTAAAAATCTGCATCGGAATTTCTTCATTCAGCCTCCTCTCAATGTAGAATAGGAGAATAAGAATAAGCTACTTTGGAATTTGCAATTCAGTCGAGATGCGATAGATGAGGTACTAATTATTCTTATTATAATTATTAGTCCCTTGGGTTCCTAGTGGAACATAGGGCTTCAGTAGCACGTCTCCAGTGACCTCTGTTCTCTGAGATCTTTTCAACCTGGTCCCACGACAGCCCAGAAGCTCTCATTTCCTCCTCGCATGACCTCCTCCATGTCACCCTCACCCCAGACGTCCAACTTGTCGCTTCCCATGGGGATTCCACTCGAGCAACTGGCCTGACGCGTGATGTCCTCAGTCGGCCTTCTCAGTGCATGGCCAATCCATCTCCACTTCTTCCTGTATATTTGTTGCGTGATAGGTTCTTGGTTGGTTCGTTCCCAGAGTTCCTTGTTGCTTATTCTTTCTGGCCATCTGATCTTCAGCAGCGAGCGTAGGCAGTTGTTGATGAATGTCTGTAGTTTATTGGAAATGCCTTTCGTGACGCGCCAAGTCTCTGAACCATACAGAAGCACTGACTTGACTGATGTTGGTGTTGAAAATCCGTATCTTGTTCTGCATGCTGAGTGCAGAAGATCTCCACACTGGTTTCAGGCTAATGAACGCCTGTCTTGCTTTTCCGATTCTGACTTTGACGTCCTCGTCCGTCCCGCCTGTAGTTGAAACAGTGCTTCTCAGATAAGTGAAGGAGGTTACTTCCTTCAAGTTTCTCCCGTTGACGGTGATTGGAGTTTGTTGTTGTTGTTGATGGTGGTGGTGCGGTATCTTCATCACTTCTGTCTTCTCTATATTCACCTGAAGGAAGTCCCGTCTTAGCTGCCTCTTCTATCAACTTGTTAGTTTTTGCCTGCAGATCTTCAAGTTTGTGTGACATTAGGCACAAGTCATCGGCGAAATCCAAGCCTTCTAGGTTCTTTTCCGCAATCCAGCTAGCGAATCACCCTCTTCTCGCTCCCCACTGTTTGCTGCATGATCCAGTGCAGTCGACCACAATCAGGAATATCATAGGGGATAGTAGGCAACCTTGTTTCACTCCTGTCTTCACTTCAAAGGCATCACTGAGCTTCCCATTGTGAATTACTTGGCTGGCATGTGGCGTCTTCATATAGTTGTTGAATGAGGCGGATAAAGGTTTGCGGTACTCCGTAGTAATGAAGCATTTTCCGAATTACTTCTCGGTCGACGCTGTCAAAGGCCTTCTCAAAGTCGATGAAGTTGAGGTAGAGAGCTGATTGCCATTCTATGCTCTGTTCTATGATGATGCGAAGCGTTGCAATTTGTCTGCACATGATTTGTACTTCCTGAATCCAGCCAGCCAGCCTGTTCCGGTCGTAGTTTTGAATCCAGTACATCTTTAAGCCTCTCCAGGATGATGCGGCTTAATATTTTACTTGGGATGGACAGGAGAGTGATTCGGCGCCAGTTCTTGCAAACACTGAGGTCTCCTTTCTTTGGCAGTTTGACAAGGTAACCCTTCTTCCAATCGTCAGGTACCTTCTCTTCCTTCCACACCTTCTGCAATAGTGGTGTGAGCATGTCCGCTGTTGTCTCTGCGTCTGTTCTCAGTGCTTCTGGCGGGATCCCATCTGGTCCTGCTGCTTTCCCGCATTTCAGTAGCTTTATGGCGTTCAGGACTTCCATTTTCGTTGGGGGATTAATGTTCACTTGTAATTCAGCGGCTGCAGGTGGTATTTCTGGACGAAGTGTAGGTGGTGGTCGATTCAAGAGCTTCCTGAAGTGGTCGGCCCATCGTTTCCTCTGTTTCTCTTCTTTTGTAATTAAATTTCCTTTCTCATCTTTTATTGGTTTCATCTGTGTTGGTCTCTTCCCTGTTAGCAACCTGGTTATTTGATACAATGTCGTCAGGTCTCTCTCTCCTACCTGCAGCCTGTTCTGCTTCACTTGCCACTGTTTCGTAGAAGTGTCTTTTGTCTTTGCGTGCACTCTTCTTCACTTCTTTGTCCAGTGTTTTATACATTGTGCTCAGTTCCTCTTGTCGTTGAGCATCCTTGCACTGGTTCATCTTCTGCTTCACCATCCTCCTCTCCTCTATCAGCTTCCAGGTATCCGTCGAGATCCATTCCTTGTCTTCCAACTTCTTCCTTCCTAATACTGTTGTGCAGGTTTCTTTCCACATAGCTTTCAAAGACTTCCATTGTTCTTCCAAACAGGTTTCTTCAGGGATGTTGCTCGATGTCTCCCATTTTGTCTTGATGGCTGCCATGAAGATCTCCTTTGTAGTTTCATCCTTCAGTTTCCGAGTGTTGTACTTGGGTTGAGGTCTATCACCAGCTTCCTTGAAGGCTTTTAACTTGATTTGGAAGGTTCCTTGCACTAGACAGTGAGTGGTGTGAACCTACATCTGCTCCTCTTCTTGACCTTGTGTTAAGTAGACTGCGTCTCCATTTTCTTGAGATTGAGATAAAGTCGATTTGATTTTTAGTGTGTCCTGGTGTCTGGTGAAGTCCATGTCGCTTTGTGGATATCTTTGTGCCTGAACACACTGCCTCCAATCACCAAATCGTTGAATGCACAGAATTCTGCAAACAATTCTCCATTCTCATTCATCACCTCACCTAGCGCCTCTCGACCCATGGTTAGTTCTCTTCCCGTGTTGTCCCCTCCCAGTTTGGCATTCATGTCGCCCATTAGAATTTTGATATCGCCAACTGGCGTCTTGTCCAGTGTTGATTGAAGTTGTCTGTAGAATTCCTTATTTTTCTCTTGCTCTGCATTATTTGTAGGTGCATAACATTGTATGATTGTGAGCTTCCTTCCTTCCTTTTGAGTTGAATCTTGCTGTCATGATCCTGGAGGAGATTGGTTCCCACTGCATGAGAGCCTTCGATGCTGTTGAGGACATCATGATAGCCACTCCCTCAGTGTGCTCGTGGTTGGCGTCTGGGTGACAGTAACGGAGTAGATTATCGACTCCTCTCCAGTTGACAGTTTGGAGAGTCCACTCCCATTCCATCTGCTTTCGCAAATCCCAAGCACTTCGATGTGATACCTTCTCATCTCGTTTGCAATCTGGGCTGCCTTACTGGGTTCAAACATCGTACGGACATTCCATGTCCCCAAGTTTACTTTCGCTTTCATCGAGAGAGGCGAAGACACATCGGCCAATCGGCTTGTTGAAGGCTTTCACCAACTGGCGTCATTTTGCCTCTCCGATTCCAGCGAGGAATAAGTTTGTTATTATTTTTTATATTTTGTTTGTGCTTGTGTGATGAGGTACTAAACTGAAGATTAATAAGGATTTTCGATAGAAAATTCTACACAGTCATTGTAGACGCTCAATGATGAACATGCATTCATTTAGCGATTCGCCTGCTCCTGTGTAGC